ATAACTGGGGCAAAACACTCAAGTGGCGAAGTTGTATAAACTGCATTCAACCGAAGGGCACTCACTTATTAAAAGCAGAGAAGTGGAAAACCTAGACCCCGTTTTGAAAAATGCTAGATCCGAGTTATCGCGACAGTTTCCCTTTTTGGTAAGTTATGGGCCACTTCGAATTAAGCCTTGCACATCCTCTACTGCGCGCAATTTTAGGATTATTCGGATGCAGGGAATTTCAGATACAAAATAGATATATTCGATTGAATCTTCATTTGGGAAAGTTCATCAACATCAACCGTTTTAGCGACAAATCCTCACAGCTCCTTGGAAAAAAAAACTCTCAAAAAAGATGAGAATTAGGCTACTCACGTTGTCTATTCCAGCTTTAGTCATGTTTAGTGAAATAAATCTCAGTTTTAATACTAACTTTATACAAGCCAATGCAATCTTCAACTTCAAAAGCAACGTCCTTTACACCATCACCATGCAGAGTCAAATGTTTACCCATGGCTGTTGATAAATACAGTAAAACATACCAATAAAAACCTGAATTTCCTTCAACAACAACTACATAACAATAAACTAATAAAAATCAGCACATGGTAGGAATCAAATATATTATGTGAAGGAAAACCCATTCTTCTGGGAAAGAAAATTTCTTACCAGACGAGGGCTGTATCATATGAACGCCGGAGTCGGGCGGAACTAGCGGGGTCCAGAGACGAGCACGGCCTCTTTGGCACGCTCAATATTGCTCCCTGGTCTCTCTACTGTGCAAAATATCTGTATTTGCAGATCTTACCTGCTTATTCGTTTTGAGGATTAATTTACTGAGAAAATATGAAACTTACTTTCTGTGAGCTCATTGTTTGGGACAAGCGCTGATTTAAGAACAAATATGATCTGCAAAATATGAACAAAAGTGATGCATTTTAATTACTCAATTAATGCAGTTGTCATGCTACAATGCAGTATACCGCTACAATAATGCCATTAAGAGTATTTGTGTTTGTTTGTTTATGTATTAATAAAAATAAAGGATAGTTATGTAATGTTTACAACATGAGCGGCCGTGTTGTATGGGATTTTACAATCACGAGCCGACGGCGAGAGATTGTAAAGCCCATACAACACGGACGCGAATGTTGTAAATTACTTGTGAAACGTTTAGGTGTATGCATTCAGAATCTACTAAAAACTTAAAGATAAAATTGAATTTGGCTGAGAAAATTAGATTTGAAGTTTATGCAAATCAAGACAGTTTTGTATCAAATATTACAACACTCTTCACGCTTGTGATTTCTATTGTGTTTCCCTCATTAATTATTCATGAGTTTTACAAATGATTATATGAACAAAAGTATACAAAGCGGAAAAACAAATACTATCATACGCTGACTTCCCTCTCAATTGAGTTTTTTAAATTAGAACAATAAAAGTCACCTTGTCCTGTTTCACAGCATGAGCTACTTCTTCTGTGGAGCCTGTTTCTAATCCTTTGTATGCCATGGGCTCAAAACCCATTCGAGTGCAATAATATGAGGCTGCCTGCACAACATTAAATTGTTAAATTGAATCCAAGATTCGTCCAAGTTAAATTACTAGTACAAAATGGTAATCATTATGCCAATTACTTTGTTTCCTATTGCCTTATCAGAAGAAATTAGCAGTATTATTTGTTTCCAGACTTGATAAAGTGCGAACAATCWAACCATTTGTATCAACATTTATTGTCATTATATTGTTTTTCCGCACGGTCTCCAGTTTACAGGAAAGTGAGTGAGTGATTGAGCCGAGTAAGGCCATTTCATTGTTCAAATCTTCAAAGCTCGATTAGCTCTAATTTCAATCTTCGAGTTAAAAATTAAAAGCTTTGAAGATTATGATACTGCAACGGTCTGCTAGTCCAAGAAGTCACAGAAGTACGTGGGCATGTTTTCGAAAGTTCCAACTGAACTAGAAGTTACATTTTCCCACTAGCTTTTTGCATCAATTCGTTTACATCCTTGAGATAGATTACTGAAAGACAAATCACACTCCCATTCAATGTTCGGCTGCCATTCCCAGTAGGCAAAAATTCCAATCCTAGTGCATCCAATCCCATTTTCCCAGCCAAAAACCAGGCAAAAGTCCCAGTCACATTTTACCCCTTCAGGAGCCTCTTAGAAGACGTTCAACGGCATTCGGGCGATAATCAATGTACCGACATATTGAATCTTATATAAAATAAGCAAGTAGTTTTTAAGTGATTCGTCTTATAGTTTGGTCTAGCATTCTTCGTAAACTACTCCTAAGAAAACGCATTTTTCTCTCCTTGGTCCTCCTGTGTTGATTTATCTTGAMTGAGAAAAAACTGATGCAGAGAGATTAGGGCCCTTCCTTCCTAGCCCCTTCCCTCTGCGGACGATTTTCTGCCTTAACACCAGAAGTCCCGAGGACTAGAGTTGCGTGCGAAAGGCTAAGTTTGATTTAGAAATGGAAATATGCTGGGTCATGTCATGGGTCATGAGAGTTTTAAATTACTTAATCAATTTCGTTAATGTTACAAGTTGAGCCAAGGTCGACCTCAGTGGTACTATTTCTAGTGGCGCGGAGAATATTTGCTTACACGCCAACATGGCAGCCAAAAACGTTTATCTATTGAGTCACGGACTAGTACAAAACAGAATAAACTGTAGAGTGCACGTCATATAAGCATGAAACAATTCTTAATATGTATTGCTAAATAAGATTTAGTTATSAACTAACTAAGAATTCAACACAACATAAACACAATATGCCAATTATTTAAATTCCTTTGTAGCATTGTTCTCAATTCTTAGTTAGTTGATAACTAAATCTTATTTAGCACTACATAGTTAAGAATTGTTTCATGCTTACGTGACTTGCACTCTATATCACAAACTTTCTGTAAGTTAAAATCTTACCTGTTTAGCATTTCCAACCCAAAATGTGATGTGATCAAACGCTAACATCCGTCCAACAGTTGGCTGATACAAATATATGTACTCACATTCATTAGAAAGTATTACTTAGTCTACATTTCATGACTAGAATCATAAAATTCTGGAAAAAACAAGTAAAAAAATACCTTTTCGCCTTTATCTGAGTATGTCGTCTATTAAAAAAGGAACAAAATCAATCTTAAGACAATTTTATCCGATTTTCAAAGTATAACCGAATCATATACGTACCATTTTGAGCTTTTTCTTTACAGTTTTCTAGTGTTAATAACAAACAGAGAAATTTATACGTTGCTTTGCAGAGTAGACTACTTAAAGCGGATGACAAAAAGGAATGTAATTTTAATTACAAGCATATATATAAATTTACTATTATTTGAGTTTGCTGAAGAAGGCCGAAGTGCCGAAACGTTCATTAAAAAGTAGAAAACCTAGTTACAAGTTGCGTGGCTTTTTCTTCATTTATTCTATTTATAAATTTACTATTACAGCCTTTTGCACAAATTATGAGACATTTATATATATATAAATATACCTAACCAAATATCAAAAWCACCCCAGAAATTATGGTATATCTCTATTATATTTTGTCATGATTGCCTAGCATCAGGTTGTTACAGACAAAATATCAGC